CGTTCCTCATGCTGGCCAATCGGTCACGAACCGTGTCGAGCTATTGGCCACTCCGACTATGTCGGTTCAAAATCTCCCCTCCAGATGGTTGTTCGATCATCATTTGTGAGAAACCCTTCCACTCACTTGACGCGCACACGAACACATGCCCTTGGTTTGGAGCTGTCTTGTCGTCAGGACCAAAGATTTTGGCAATGCCTCCCAGAAGAACCTAGTCTTCCGTGCCCTACTCGAGTTCGCTCATCGCTCTCCGCATCGACAGGGAATTTGTGCAATCGCACACTGGCAGCTATCTAACCTTGTACTTACATCTCCCGTCGGCCTTCAGTCATATTTTACCCACCGGTTCCGTCAGCTTATCGCTTCTTCTGTTTCACTTGTTCTGCGTCATGCATACATCGATACATTAACATGCAAGAGCAATTTTTGGTTACTGAGGTCAGATCTGTCTCGCTCACCCTTTTCATGCGGGACTCACAAATCCTACCCCTCTCCTCACACACACACAAGCTTTCTGTTCAGTGTGCTTTCATCCTTGAATTTTCTAGTTGCCTTCAATTCCACTCCCAACCCTTCTCCTGTTAGTGCTATCGTTCTTAAAGTCATTTATTCTCTGAACCCTCTCATCTTCTAATGACCGTTCTTCATCCCGTTGTTTCCAATTCAATCAGAATCATCTTGGCACCTATCTCTTTTGCTCAATTTCTCTATTCCTATTTTTTCGATGACGGGAGTTTAGGGTACATGTGTAGTTCTCTATCCTCCTTTTCGACGTACTCTCGTGAGCTGCGAACGAAAAGGTTGAAGTAACTTAGACAAAATTATCANGCTACTGCCTATTTACACACACGCATGCATACAAAAGCACGTGTGCACGCACATTTGATCGTCCACGTTCCCTTTTCTTAAAATTACCGCAAAACAATGTGTCGTAAATGCCACATATACATGACCCGAGCGATTAGCAAATCGACTCGTTTCCATTGTTGTTTCTTGTGTTTTTTCTAATTTTTGTCTCTTGGTTTTGTGTTGACTTTTTTAGGCACCTTGACACCGCTCTCAGCTTTTATTTGAAGCAACAACCTATTCTCTTCCTAAATCGTCTTTGTGACGATAGTTGCATTCCTAGCAACACACATTCAGGTCCTTTCCCCGTTATCCCTGACCCATGCCTTCCCCTTTTCTTGGAATCGGAAAATACGCACACACAACCTTCTCCCCTCATACCTAGATGGGTTTATTCCTCGTTTGTTCTTTCTCTACATGTTTTGCCCCTCGATTGCGTGAACAATGAAATGGTCATTTTCCATCGGAATGGATCACCCAGTGCTTGTACACACCGCTGTTTGACCTTGAAATTGTCCTCCATCGTCCACTGTGTTTCCCAACACTGGTAGTTCGTATGCTAGTAATATTCAAAATTATTCATATTGTACAATTTATCTTTTGTTCACCTGCGCACGCCGAAAAGCTATCTCATAGGTGTCACGTAGATAGTAATCATTTAGCAACTTTACATTTGTTCAGGCCATGAATGGAAAATTGGTACAACTTGGTAGTGTGACACCTTTATCACTGTATTAAACAGAAGATAACATCTTCATCGGATGGATGCGACTTTTTCGAATTAATTACATGAATTTTCACGTTCACTTACAGTTGTCTGAGATCCCACGAATCAGAAGCCAACAAATCATATGGCGTGGTAACGCCGTGTAGTTGCTTCAACCTCGTCTTCCATTCGATTTCTACGAGCATGGTTTGTTTGTATTATCTCATTCAGAGATATTACTCGCTATCATCAAGCTTCCTGTATCTTTATGTGGGGTTCACTCCTTGGAGGACTAGGTCCATGTTACCATCCATTGAGTTGATCCTCGTGTAGCACAGGGATAAATAGCTAATTTCAACCAAAAAGGATTCAGAACGCACTCACGCGCCGCGCCTTATTCGCAGTTGCGGTTCCAGGTTGGAAGAAACCGAGTAGTGGTCAACAGATGACGTGGAAGCGAGGCATGAAGAAATGTACAGAGCGATTGGGTAGAATCGGTGTCTCCCGTCTTCCAGGTTGGGGTCCGAAAAACTCTACAACTGGTTGGCTGGAGACATTAAAGGATATGCCGACTAACCGACAGCAGTGGCGCTCTTGTTGTCATTTCTTAACGAGGCAGAATGCTTGAAAAAGGTGTGCATGAACACTTAGATTGTGTGTTCTGTGTGTAGAACATAGAGGTTCTTTTTCTTTGCCTCCCTCCAAGTAGGCCCAGTCCCTCTCCATCTTGTGTTTTATCACTTGAGTTGCGTACATTGTGAGCTTGGCAGTGATCAGTGAAGCTCGCTTCACTCGCTGTACAATGATGATGATGATTGTTGTAAACCCTCACACGACCAGAGGTCTGTGAGAAAAGTGACCTCAGTAGGTTAACGTACTTCCTGGGCATTCCTTTTCAAAGAAGGGAGCGCATCAGAGCTTCGCGATCAACTGATTCGAAGGCTTCTATCCGATCAAGGAACACTGCGATCGTTGGCCGACGGTGGGTGCAAAGCAGCTCAAGAACCTGGCATAACATAAAAATTTGATGAATACATCCACGGCTAGGCCGGAATATATGGCTTGCTGTTCACAGATGTCGGCCTATCTTAAAGGCGTCAGACGTCGAAGTATGACCGAAGCTAGCACTTTGGTGACGAGCGGGATCCAAGTTATTCCGTGGTGGTTCTTGCAGGTTGAACGTTAACAAGAAGGATTGCTGATGTTCCTCAGTCGGAATGGAGGCCACGTAAGATAGATTATGTCGTTGCATTACGTGACGGAAATCACTTAGCTGATGCTACCAATATCTGTATGAACTGCCTTGTTTCCTTGATCCGAACAAGAACTGTTTTTCTAAGAAGTTCGTGATCTAATCACATCCAAGAAGATACCTTGGGTATGCTGTCTTTGGAATTTCCTTTCAAATGAGTTCATGGAGACAGCTTCTGCATTGTTCCTTGTATGCCGGAGCAGGCTTTGTGTGAAATTGAACCATATGGTAAAATGTGTAACTGCTTCAAAAATATAATGGTATCCTTTTTTGCATGCTTGAATGCTGTTTGGCATTGGGATTTTTAATTTGAAGTTGAGGAACGCTTATGAAACCTTGTTGACTGATTGGAACTGACCATCCTTCATATTTCACCTTCACGCACAATCCTCTGCTCTTCTAGTCAACCATGCACTGGGAAGCACTAGAATCGAGTTTCACTCTTATTAGAGCTCATCAGTACTGTATAATCCCGTTCGGGATTGGAACTTCGGACCCATCGTATGGAAGGCATGTGTGTTACCACTGTGCCTACCAGCTCACGCCAAGGCTGAACCCAACTGCCAATTCATGTTTGTGCGGGTTTCGTCTCCAGAGATAGTCACCAATTATAAGTAACTGATTTAAGTACGCATTTGAAAACTGGCTAAAATGTTGCCCAAGTCGTCAGTAGAAGCGCAGGACAAACTCAAATTCAATTCAAGTGTGGCTTCTCGTGAATGCTAGATAACAAACGGTTCGTTAGAAAGACGGTATATTTGCTTAGTGGTACACAACTTTGATATCACTTTATAGGTTTAAATAAGTAAGGATTCATGTTACCCCCTGTACGCATGAAATTAGCACAGAATCGATATGCAAGCCATAGCATAAAGGTTTGGAAAGAAGGAACGGAAACCCGAGTACAGGAAAGTTACACAGGACATCAATGGAAGTGCGGTTTCGAGTCCAGCGAAACTGTTACACTTGAGTGAAAAAAATGCTTTTGACTAACTTGACTACCGATTGTGATGAAAGTGTAAACATGAGTCCCTAGAGAGACAGATGAAACTAAAAAAGTTTTTAAAAACGAATCAATTGATTTCCACCGATATTTGCTGCTAGAGGATAATTCGGCTTCATGAACGATAATTATCGATAAGAGTTTTTTAGGATATAATCAACAGTGGTAACCTTGGCAGCTGTATCCCTAGAATGGTGTGCGCGGTAACACATCATGATAAAAAAACAATCGTGGTGACTACACGAGTAACAGACGACAACATGAGACGAATTCCGTTCTTCCACTATAGTTAGATATATCGCCCGAAGAAAGTCGCATTCCAGAATTCTCAACACGCACAGCGGCTCGTGTTGGTATCCCGAGAATACAGATGCGCGCAAGTACACAGATTATTGCCCACGGTCTAATCAGCACACACACCATGTATCCAGATTTGGAACGATAGAGCAATGGAAGACAGCTGTGTTTGGTATACATGGATATACATGTAAGATAGGTTAGATACAATTCAATTATAAAAGCATTTTAATAGGCAAACACATCGTCGCAGGGGACGGTTTGTAAAGTTGAGTCGGAATGGGCACAAACCAATTTGCTGTTGGACAAATCGAATGAGATTACATTGCGTACACGAGTAGCCCCGGGCAAGATGGCGTCGGATACGATTAATTTCCGCCGGGATCCTTTAAAACCGGTCCAAGAATCTATTGCACGAAAGATAATGTGTATACAAATTTGGTCAGTAAACCGTACTTTCGAATGGTGAAGTATAAAGTATAATTACCAATTCATTTGCGCAGAGAACAAAAAACAGATCAAGGTTCGATGTGTGAACGTTTCTTTTCTGTTGACGAGGAATTATTTAACGTTCATACTTCTTACGGTTAACAAATCTCTCGCCTCAATCGAACGACAAAAGGTTTTTATCAATGTAGTAACTAATAAGAGCACCCGCTCCCTGTAACGCTTGCAGATTTTCCCTTGCAATGGTACTGTGCTGGTTGGTCTGGACCAACGATGCAATAAAGGCAATTACGGTGCCAATACCAAAGCAGAAATCTGGAACCGACGAACGCGGAGTCCTAGATGATATCCGGTGACATGAAACTTGAATGACAGTCATACTCTGCACCAGATCGAACACGTTTGGATGAGAATAATTTTTCATACATGCCTTTATTTCCTTTATATTCCTTGGGTATAAAAAAGCGTGCGGTAAACTTCCAGGAGGGCCGCGGTCATACAGCGGCTATAGAGGAATACAGAAATGGGGAATGGACGGGATACGAGATCGGGACTTCCAGGCTGCTATTCTGATTATCTTAACCACTGCCGCCAAGTTGTTTAACCTCTGTGGATGATTGTAGAGCGTATCGCAGCGGTGAAACCAAGGACAAGAACGATACGAACCATATCTTCTTATAGGACCGCTTCGAAATCCGTCGTTCTAAGCGAAGTAAAATTTGTTCAAACGGTCAAATAAACACCGGAAATCCTTTTTCTTTACTAGACCAGTGATGCAACCGTATTTTCTGGAGCAACCACCGTGGCAAAACAATGGGGAACAACAGCACTAACCGAGGAATAAAGCTTTATCGCAGAATTTGCTATTATGAACAGAAAGGTTAGAGCTCCGTAACGATAATGAAGCTCCCATCAGGGCATGGGCATGCTTAATAAATAGCGCGAATCAACACAGGCTCCAAAGTGAAACAACGAGCTTCAACTAGAAAAATCGCAATCTGCACTGAAAGCAGGTTGCGCACATACGAAGACCGCGTTGAGGACTTGCAACTACGAAAAGCTGTTTCGGTTTTTTGCCCCATGTCTCGTACCGGAGTCATGGACATGGGTTAAAAATTTACTCGTCAAATACGAATGTTCAAGCATGTTCGTCTGATTCCTGCGGTAACGAACTGAGTGAATTCAGAACGATATTCGTAGACAATGAATGTACATACTGCTCATTTAACATGTGATGACCACCACAAACGAGTAAATTAAAAATTTTTTTGTTCATCTCTACCAAGATGACGATTATTAAAAATGATAGATGGGTGTATCTAGATTTCTGTCTGAAATGCACATTATACCGCTGGTGTGNGCTGGTGTGCACAAGGGTTGCAGTTCCAAACTAATTTTCTCGATGCAGATAAAAAACTGATCAGTCTATATTCATCAATTCGTTTGTTCCTATGATGTCACTTAAGTCCGTCGTACAACCGAACACCGGGTTTAACGCATTTAAGACCACTCTCGCCGTCCGTTGATGAGAAACGGAGCGGGGAGGAGGGTAGCAATCACCGATCAGCTGGTCAAAACGGGTGTTAACGTGAGTCAATCGTTCTCACACATCTGCACGATCAATGGAATGCAGTTAGAGCAGGTCAAGTATCGCTAACTGTCAAGTGCCGAAGCCATCGCGACTTGTTTGAACAAACCTCTCTTGTAAGATACGCGGTGCTCTTGATTTATCAAGGTCCGTTATGAACGCTTGTGGTGTAACGTCTGCTACAATGCATTGGTTTATTCGACAATGCCGCATGAAAATGAGCTTGTTTGCCAATTTGAATACGCCAACCACGGGGAGCCGGTTTGATTCGTGTCACCACCAAAGTCCATTACATGCTACTGCTCCGATGTATTTTCCTTTCTTCGTGTATATCTTTATGCACACAAAAAGAGGGAATGATTATCGTTTACACCGTGACCATCATTAAAACATCGCTCTACGTTTCACCAGTCCAGTGCAACCTGAATCAACGACATACACAATGTTTTTGGTGTAATGAATCGAAACGCATAGCGGACAATTATTAGTTTGAGGCTGCTTGAGGCACATCACTCAGTTTCAGTTTTTACAACCATTAACCATGCACTTTCGTGCGCCGGTTTTGGTTGCTGTCCTTTGGCCGCCCATTTGGATAAAAAAGCAGAATGAAGATTGGAGTGTTGAGAGCAAATTCAAGGAGAAGATAGAGAATTAATGTGAACGGATGTTACAAGAATGATGAGTAAATGCATGAGCGCCACTGTTTGCGACACCAGTCATATACCTCAGCGTCTCTAACTATCGGTGACCATGATCTCGGGGTCCCCATCCGGGGAACCTAACGGGACCTATGTAACCGAGTATCCTTCTCTTTTATCCAAATGGGCAACCAAAACCGGCGCTCGAAAGTGTATGGTTATTGTTTGTAAGAACTGAACTGACCGAGTCTCTTGGTTAGGGTTTTCAAACCCTCATGTCAGGTCTTCGTTTGACTGCCCTGTGCCTTTTTCCAACCGCTACCTTTCTCAGCGAACATCGCTTACCATGGCAACTAATCTGGTGACATGCGTAACATGTCCCAACCAGCGTATTCTTTTGAGGTCGATTATTTGCTCTAATGGGTGTACTACTAAGTACCTGTGCACATATTTCAGTGAACCGTCAAAGACCGTTCAGGTTTTAACCTAATTTTGGAGTGCGACACGGTTCCCCGCTATCCGCAGTGCTGCTTGGATATACAACTGACTGAACAGAAATAAGAACACCTGACAACCGGGATATTCAGCTGAATAACAAGGTATAGATTTACAATCTAGTTTTGCGGAGGAACAGATGACTATTCTCAAGACCATACAGTCGATGCATGGTCTTATTCGGCTCTTCGTTAACGAAAACAAACTAGGAATAATCACAGAAACGACAGTATTTGTACACCTGTCGGTTCCTTGTAATTAAATGGTTCGATCGAACAACCACATTATTCGAACATCCTGGGTCAACACTAATTTCAAATTGTGAAAAGAAAGATGATTTTTTGTTTAACTCCGTACATACAAACAGTGTTATGCCAGTTAATAAATGAAAGGGCACGCAGTGAGATTCATTTGTGGGCAAAACTGACATTTACATTGCTATGTTCCCTCTCCTGATATATGCCTATGAGAGAAGCGGAAGATACAAGAGGACCAGAGGTATTTCACGACTGGTGTGTATGCACAACACCAAAAGTTGTTTAGAGCAACCGGCCGTCCAGCAATGAACTGAGAATACGGTGTCAACATCGAAGAGCGATCGGAACAACTTCAACGTCGACGCGTAGAGAGTCTGAGTCACATTCTATGACCCAAAACTACCGAGTTGTAGGAAAAAGCACTCTATCTTTCACCTCGAAACTGAAGCTTGAAGGGTCGTTTGAATCAAGGGCAAACATGGTCAACTGAGACGTAGGCCGCGTAAGTCTGCAATCGGTCTACGGATAGTCACCGGAATATCATACACATGGACCTCACTACCCACCGCAGCATGTAAAGCGCTACCGTGCAAGAGTTATAGGAAACCG